TCACTTTTTTCTTAATATCAATTTGAATTAGATAGAAATGAGATTAAGATATGTAAAAGTGTTTATAAATGGAATCAGATTGTAGAACACTAAGAGATGGCATTGATAAAAATATGTTCGAATTGGTGTTGCTTTTAGGATGGTATAGCTTGTAGAAAATTAATAAAGAGACATATCAGTTGCTGTTATAATGGTTTAGTTTGTAGAAAATGGATTAGAAGAAATATTTGCTTCTAATTGGGTTAGCTTGGAGAAAATGGATTGAAACACACTGCCTTTGCTTTTGAATTGGATAAGGTCGTGGCTTGTTGATATAAAGACAAGGTGACGCAAGAAGGAAACACAGGCACAGGCACACACACACACACTAACACGAACACACAAACACAAACACACATACACACACACACTAACACTAACACAAACATACACAAACACACACATACACAAACACACACTCATAAACACACACACACACACATAAACACACACAAACACACTAACACTAACACACACACAAACACAAACACACACAAACACTAACACACACACAAACACAAAAACACACACACACACACAAACACAAACACACACATAAACACACACACACACACACACACACACACACACACGAACACACACACACACACACACACACACACACACACACATACGCACACACACACACACACACACACACACACACACACACACACACATACACACATACACACACACACACACACACACACACACACACACACACACACACACACACACACACACACACACATATATATATATATATATATATATATATATATATATATATATATATATATATATATTATGCATGTATATATGTATGTATATATGTATATTTATGTATATATATGTACATATATAAATAGATAGATAGATAGATAGATAGATAGATAGATAGATAGATAGATAGATAGGTAGATAGATGGATAGAGAGACAGATAGATAGGTAGGTAGATAGATGGATAGAGAGACAGATAGATAGGTAGGTAGATAGATGGATAGATAGCTATAGCTATAGATATAGACAAACAAACAAACAAGTAAGCAAACATGCAGAAAAAGAAGTGCAGGAAGAGAAAACAAACAACAACAAAAAGAAAAAGAGAACAAGGAAGAGAAAAAAAAACGAAAGAAAACAAAAAAAAACAAGCAAAGAAAAAAAAAGCGAAAGAGAGAAAGAAGGAAAGAATTGCAAAGAAAAAAAGCGAAAGAGAGAAAGAAGGAAAGAATTGCAAAGAAAAAAAAGCGAACGAGAGAAAGAAGGAAAGAAATGCAAAGAAAAATATTTAAGGCCATTTAAGAATTATAATATCATGTTACGTGTTACCATAGTGATATTTATCGTTTTATTCCGTATTTTGAGATATACTGTTGTTGCATTTCTGTTGCATCTCAACAATGCAATGGTCATTATTAGAAATGAAGAGGCGTTTTGTTAACACCATTGCCTTTAAAAAATATAATGATGACATTTATATGTTTCGTTTCTCCACAATCTATGATGATGATGATTATAGTGATGATTATCATGAATAATAATTATAGTGATGATTATCATGAATAATAATTATAGTGATGATGATAGTAATAAGAATAACGGGTAGTAGTTGTAGTAATAGCTGTGATAGTGCTAGTAGTACTGATAATGATAATAAAAATGATAATAATGATAACAATAATAATGATGACAAGAATACTACTATTATTACTATTACTACTACTACTGCTACTACTACTATCGATAATGATAATAAAAATATACAAATAATTCACAGATCACAAACAAATTAATATTTTTTTCATTTATATATATATATTTTTTTTACTAAACACTAGCCTTCCCGCAGAGATGAAAATGGGTGTCAGTGCCAACATGAAGAGTATCTCCGTCGCCCTACTGTTGGCAGCGATGGTGGCACAGGTCACGTTGGCACAGGAGGCGTCTCTCGGGCAGCATGGATCGGATTACCTGCCACCACGTCCTGCCAACACTCTCAAGCCAGGTCAGACAACACTTGGAGCTTCAATGTGTGCGGTTTTGATAGATGCGTCTAAACTTAACTAACTTAAAAAAAAAAAAATCTTCATTTTTGGGATAGATGCGTCTAAACTCAACTAACTTTAAAGAAAAAGATAAAAAAAAATCTCTTATTTTTTGGTGTGTGTCTTAACCCTTTCTTCCGCGCTTTTGCTTTGTTTTTTTTTAATGCTAGTTTTTTCATAATTCTCCACCATGCTTTATGTTAACTTTCATCTTATTTTGTGTTATACGTTTTACGTCATCGTCATCATCAACTTCATCATTACCTTTTTCTTTGTCTTCAGCATCATTGACAGCGTTATCATCATCTTCAACATTATTATCACCATTTTTAACATCACTATCGCCATCATCGTCTTTATCATCTTTTTTTGCATCACCATTGGCGTTATTACCATCATGAACATTGCTATC